GGGCGGGGGAGGGAGGGGGGCGCAGTTTCAAAACAACAAAATTATTGCCTGTCACCCCGTCTCCCTCTAGATCTAGTAATTGTATCCTTGAATTATTGTTAGTTCCTACTTTTGAAATCCACAGTAGAAGGCGTGTCCGTGTGTTCGTTGAAGACATTAATAATAGAACTAGTTTCTGCTCTTGAGTAGTGTTAGTTCGCAAAAAGAAAAATCATCTGCCATTGTCATCGGCACCTGACACCTTTTGTTGACAGCATCAATGACAGAGAACAAGTCTTTATTTGTTGACAGTGAGAAAGAATAGAGGGTAGAGGAATAATTTATGGGTGAAGTCGGAACAATTGAGCCAAAACAAAACAATAAAAAAAACAACGTGAAGTTTTGGTTTGTACACTCGTGGGTTGCGAAGGTGGCTTCTCGCGTGAATAAACGCACATACGCCCAAAGCATGGAGTAACAGAAGGAGTTTCTGTCGTGGGTGTGCAAGGAAAGTAGCATATTCCAAGAAAAATCTCGAAAGACAACATAAAATTAATTGTAGAATTATTGGTATGCCGCATACCAAACTTATTACAACTATTTTAAGTTGTATTTTTCTGTAGTTGTTTTTTTTTCCTGCAGACGGCTCTTTTCACTAGTACTAGCGGTCAGAAGGGGAGGTGGTGGGGTGAAAATGAATTCCGACCCCTTCCCCCTCCCCCTTCCTAAAATAATATTAATATTATGATAAAATTAAACACTTCTTGGGAATGACGCTACGGTGGTGCAAATGGGGCCGTACAGAGAGTGGAAAACCTGGGTGTGCGCTCATGGTAAAAATTACATGTAGTTTCGAATCGTGGGCTCAAACAGACGTTTTTTCTTCGGTAATATTATAGTGGTATGTCTGTCTGATACCGTATCTATTGTGACTTCCTGTAATCTGATGTCTCATTTTGTAATATCGGCAGTGGGTCGCTGGTAGTCCCAAGCTAGAGGCTTTCATATTTCTTTGGACTGGATGTAGTCCAAGAAGAACGCGGTATAATTTAAAACGCTCAATAGATCTATAAAATGTATTCCCCACATCATCTGTTCATTTATTCTTGTCTTTTGAAGATACATTGTAGTTAGATTTCACTGGTAGTTCGTGGTCCAATCAACATTATGGTGTCGGTTGTCTAGTGGTTAGGCTACTGTAATTACTACACATGTATCGTAAGCCTGCAGGTTCGGGGGTTCGAGGCTCACACTCACACACACGCACACACACACACACACACACACACACACACACACACACACACACACACACACACACACACACACACACACACACACACCCTCGAACCCTGCATGCCTCGTCCACATGCACCTTGCAATGATCCTGGAGTATAGAATATACCACATTATCGTGAAATAGTGTATCTATTCTGGGTCATTTGCCCTGAAAACCCACCGATAGATGGCTGGTACATGGAAGGTCTCCGAACGGTGGCGCTGTTGCTGAACCTACCCCTGCTCTGGTTGCTCGGGATGGACCCCGTCCTGTTGGCCTGCGCTGAGCGCGCCCTCTCGCTGAGCATGCTGTTTTCCTGGACCACAGTACCGTCACTCAGCACAGTGGGGATGATGCCGTAGCGACGGTACAAGTCGTATCTGGCGCGCTCCATGTTGCTAAGGCCTTTGATGGTGTGACGTAACATATTCCACGTCAGTGTCGTCTGGCTCATGCGCTTTTCCGCCGCCAGTTCTTGCACGTACTGCCGTAAGATTTTCCAGCCTCGTTTGGCGTTTTCGACTGTCTCTCTGCTTGGTTGGAAATCCACTTCATCCTCGAAATATTCTTCCTCGTCTTCTTGTTCTTCGTTCCGCTGGGCATTCAGACTTTTTACTCTTCCAATAAATCGAGAAGCAAACGTAGCGACGTGACCCACTCTGGTAGAAAATTTGGTGAACCCCCGGGATTTCCCGTACTCGGTGTTTCCGTAAAGATCGTACATAACCGACTGAAAGGCGTTACTGGCGTGGAACGTTTTCCGAGGCTGTCGAGAGATGAGTTCGGTTGAGTCGTCTATATTTTTCACGTGGGTTTCGAACTGTGCCCATGCCTGTCTCTGTGAACTGCTCAGAGCAGCTAGTTCAGCAGCAGAGGTTGGACTCTGTGGGAGAGAGCCGGCTAGAGTTCGGGGGGAACTCGCCGGCTCTGTAGAACTGGCGTCAGAGTCCGAATCATCATCACTGTGGACAGATGTTTTCTCCATTTTAACGGGAGTTTTTGTCTTTCCAGTCAACACCCGCCTCCTCGATGAACGGGCTGAAGTACTTTTTGATTCCTCAAATACATTTTCAGAGCCTTTCGGGCTCGGCTGTCCCTGACTTGTGGGACGGGTTTTTGCACTCCGACCTCTTCGTAAGGTAGTATCGGTACTTGCCGTCGCAGGTCGAGATGAAGGTGGCCGCCTTGTCTTTGAACCACTGCGAGAGTTACTTGCGTGGTTATTGTTACAAGCGTCTCTGGTCGCTTTAGCCACCGCTCTTATGGGTGTACCGCGGGGAGATGACACGGTGCTCGACCTAACCGGAGATCTGCGATCTGGGAATACGCCATTGTCTGAGCTAGCGTTAGATGACTGGTCGAAGTTGTCCGTGTTTCCGCTGCTTGTTTCGTTGGAAAAGAAGACGTTCTTTTTCACTTTGTGCTCGCCGGGTTCCCTGGACGCAGAACTCACCCTGGACGTGTCTTGATAGCTGCGAAAAGACGAGGATAAGCTGCTGGGAGAAGAAGGGACTCTGCTCTGAGAGGTCTGAGGTCGACGGCGCTCCGAGCCGTGCAGGTCGAGAGTGAGTTTATACTTTGTTCCTTCCGAATCGACCCCCATGTTGCTGTCTACGAATTTTACGTCGCTTTCTGTCGGCCAGATACGTGACGCATTTGGCTGAACCAAGTTTATGTTGTTGTTGCTGTTGTTGTTGTTGTTGTTGTTGTTGCTGTTGTTGTTGTTGTTGTTGTTGTTGTTGTTGTTGTTGTTGTTGTTGTTGTTGTGTTTGAATCCGATAAATCTCAGAACATTATTTGTTCGTGTTACCTTACGTTGTCATCATCATTTACTCGAGAACTGAGACTCCAACTTAAGCTCTGCGTTAGCACAGTGTTACTTGCATCGATGATACCCAAGGCTGGTATTCCAAAACAACGTTTGTGTTTATTAAACATCCAACTTTGGTTTCCTCAGAGACTGGATAAATGGACCTGGGAATAAGAAAGAAAGTTGAAATGTTTAAAAAACTGCGATACATTGACTAAGTACAATCTTTTCAACATTATTACAAGGGGGCAAGTTTGGTGTTGTTGTTGTTGGTGGTTTATCTTTTCTTTTCGTGTATTTGCTTTTAATCTAGTGTCCGCCCCTGTCTGCTAGTACAATGTATCCCTGTCTGTTAGTAGAATGTATCCGGGTTGGCCCTGACAGGAAAGGTCGAAGTAGCTGGCCTCCAAAAATGTGTTGATTGGGATGTAACATAAGCTTATTTGCATTTTTTTAAAGCAAATAGGGGCCTAAGGTTCCTTTTGTCCTCGTTAATATGATGCTAATTTAGTCTGGCAATAAAAAAACTACACTCTACACACTTTTCCACGACTTTCAAGTCTCAATTTACTTGTGCTAAAAGACCAGCCTAACGTAACGCTAGTCTAATAACACTTTTACAATGATCACAATTTGACAGGAGACTCGTTCGAAGCCAGTGGGTCACCGAAGAACAGTGTGACGGTTTCTTCAAGAAACCTGTATGCCACGTACGCAACTTTTTACATTCCGATCCTCAAATCGAAAAAGATATGTGATGAAGAAAGATCTGTGGCAATGGAAAGGGGAGAAAAAAAGAGTTCAATTTTAGAAAAAGTCGCGGGTTTCTTGAAGTGAACGGTCGAGTGAATGGTACACGTCAAACTATGCTTTGACATCGGGTCTTCGAATACACGTTTCGTGTGCAAAAAACATGAAAAGATTAAAGTATGACACAAGTAGACCATCTTATTCCACAGACTCTGCTCAAGCACGCGTGCTTACACACGAACACACAGACGCACACACGCAGGCAAACACAGAGACACAAACACACACACACACACACACACACACACACACACACACACACACACACACACACACACACATAAACACACACACACGCGCGCGCGCGCGCACACACATGCACACACGAACGTTCGCTTGCACCTTTTTAAACGATAATACATTTATCCCTTTCCAAGTGCATATATAGGCCTACTGGTGTGTGTGAGACAAGTGCCTCTAACTATACTCGATACTCTAACTACAAGAAGAAGACTTTAATCTTTGAGAAAAAGAAAGTGTGACTGAGCGACCAGACAAATGCACGTGAACGAACATGAAAAAACCCATTACCAACAAATAGAACGGAAAGAAAATATGGACAGACTAACCACGAATTCACTCGATAGAAGGTATATTACGCAAAAGAGAGCTATACAAGTCCTAAATCAGAGTCCTGTTTGACGTTTGTAGAGACCTATTTTTACGTTTGGTACAAAAGCGTTACCGTCGGCGGAAGAAGGCATTTATTGGTTACTGTTGTGGCAATGTCAATATTGGAGTCTTGACCTTGTGCTCCGGGGTTATGGCGTTCCCGACATGCGTCAAACAGTGGTCAACAAAAGCCGTGGTAAATTGCTGTTACGTTCAGTGACTCGCTAATGGACTGTCTACTTGGTCAACGTAGCGGCCAATGAGCAAGAGGAATTACATGCCCTGCAGCTAACACAAACCGACGACAAACACGAACTACCGGTTGATTTGACAAAACGGAACTTGAATCGTGGGACATTGCTCGGACCGTTTGACTTTAACATAATAGATCTATGTCAAGAAAGATCACTGCCATGGCGCCTAGCCTACGCATAAAAAACAAAACAAAATAATTGTCTTCGGAGTCGGAGAACTGCACGACAAAAGATCAGTCTATATTATTACACCGTTGCTTTTGTTTACACAGCTATTTTGGTGCCTTTATGAATATCAAATTCAAAAGGGGAGAAAAGAGCAAGGTGTACACAGAGCTTAAATCCATGCTGTTCATTCTGCTTCAATATTTTCGATAAACATACTATAGAATGTTTACTAAAGCGCGGTAAAAAATTCGTGGCGCAACTTATCCTAAAAATATCTCTTTAACGGATGAATCAATGTCATCCATGCTTTGCTCGGCAGTTTGTATAAATTTGTCTTAACTTAATCAAGTTTTTCTACTACAACATTGATGTTTGATTTTTTAAAATTACTTTATAAATTTATATAAAATATTATAAACTTCGTCAAGCGGAAAACGAGATTATTCACAGCACTTCCCGCTTCTAATATTTTGTATACGCTTATAATATGGCTTTCGTCACAGCTCACCAATGACACTTTTTAGAGGCAAAATACTTGTTACAAGAAATTAATAACACATTTTTGCACTAGATTCTCGATCTAAAGGTTCACAAAACACGCGTTCAATAAAGATAGTGTCACGATTAGACAAAAATGTCAGACTTGCTTTTAATAGCGATATTGCCCCAGCTGTAAACCTTGTAAAATCTGTAGAAACCATGACCCACCTGAATTTTTTTGTAGTATTTATTTAGGAATTTTCTAGAAAATAGCTCACATGTGTTATTACAAAAATATTGATATGTTAAGACAAATTCATACAAGTCATTGCGCAGAAGCTGGAGTCCACGTTCGATAGCTGAGGAAATATTTGACAATAAGTTGTGCCACGAATTTTTGGCCGCACGACAAAACATTTTCTTGTCATCCGCCTTGCCTGTTTTGTTGTTGTTGTTTCTTTTTTATGTTTTTTGTTTGTTTTTTTGTTTGTTTGGGGTTGGGGTTTTTTTGGGGGGTTTTTTTTGG